TTTTCATAATTCCACCTTGGATCTAAATCCATCTACCAAGAAAAAGAAAAACATTAGGATCCACATATGAACACAAAAAACCAATCTAATTATTTTTACAACAAAATTAAAAATGTAAAAAAAAAAAAAAGAAAGATAACATACCTTTTTATCTTTCTCTTAAGTTGAACAATAAATGAACTTTTGAACTCTTGAAGTTTTTGACGTAAATTGAATTTGGGAGAAGTGCATGAGGGTGTTGTAATTTAAATAGGGGGTTGTGTTTTTATTTATGCTTAGATTTTTTTCTATGTGATTGAGAAATTTTTTTTTAAGACAGGCTTTTTTCCATGTGATTGAAAAATCTTTTTTGAAGGCAAGCTTTCTTCCATGTGATTGATAAATCTTTTCTCAAGACAGACTTTATTTTTTGGTGTGATTGAATTGCGCAGTACATGCCTACAGTCCCAATGCATGCACTGAAATCAGCTCTTGGGCAGTGCATTGCGTACTGTCCTCAGCTGTTGCCCTCAGCTATTGAGATTCTACACATTTGAGATTCTGCACATTGCAACTTTTGATATAAAAGGTAAAAAGGTTTACTAGCCCCTAAAATTCTTTGATTGTAATGATTTAACCCAAAACTTATTTTTATTTATAATCTACACTTTTAATTTCAAAACTTATGCAAATTGCCCTTTCCCTTTTAGATAATGTGGACACCATTAATTTTTAAATTGTATGAATCATATTATTTTAACTTTTGATTAACTTTTACAAATTAACAAAAAAAAAAAACTTATAATATTTCAAGATAAGTGATAATCTAAACAAGAATTAATATAAAATTCTTATTTGAACTATAAATCACTAGTCCAATTTCTAAGCAACAACATTATGAAAAAGACATAAATTCATAATATTAGTCCACATACAATGAAAATACAAATAAAGAAAAAAAATAGTTTTGTATCTCAAATACAAGCATTACGATTGTCTTAATACTAAAAACTCAAATACAAACATTCTAATAATACCTTCTACCACCGAATCTCTCCCTCTCCATCTCTGACCTTATTTTGTCCCTTTCCAACTCTTGCTGTAGCCAAGCAAGTTTTGAGTTAACTGATTTTATACTCCAAAACATATTTCTATATTCTCATTTCACAAACAAACGAGTACCTAACATAAAAAGCTCATTACCATCTTCAACTCTAGGTAAAGTTAACAACATCTCCATACATTCTTCAGTGGTATCAGGATATGTTTCATAATTTTTCTTTGATGAATCACTCAAAGTCATTGTGGTATAACTTTCAACTGTATCACAAAGACGATTCAATTGTTTCTGCATGTATGCTGCACCCCTTACTTTCACTTTCTTCCATTTGCCAGTAAGTGAAGGACCAATTGTGTTTTTCTTCCTTTTTTCACTGCTTCCACCAGTTTGTGTTGGGATGACATTCACCTCATCAGAATCACCACTTCCTTCTTCCAAATCAATAGCATCTTCAAACCCCACATTCTGTTGTACTGAAGGAATAGACCCAGCAGCTGGAGTCCACGTAGTTTCACCAGTGACTACTATTTTGTCAAACATTTGCTGCAACTCCACTGTGTTTTCTAATCCATGATGCTCAAATTTACCATATTCTTTGTTCTCCTATAATAAATATATAACATATTAGAAGTTTAAAGTTAAAATTAACAAAGTCACATGCAAAAAACTAAAAATCATTAATAATAAAAGACTACAACTAACCTCTTTCAATTCAACCCATCGTTGAGGAGTAGCATCAATTGTACCTTTTTCATGATTCCACCCGAGTCCTGTTTCTCGCTTTAAGAGTTGATTCCACAAAACCCAATCACTTTTTAATGCATCCCACCGATTTCTTAGTTGTTTATAAAGATAATGCTTGTTTGTTCTTTCATTAAATTTTTTTTCCACATTTGTCCACCCTAATCTATTAAAAGTACTATTAGGACAATTACCAGCAATAACCTCTTCCACACATATTTCGCAGAAAATTTTTGTTGTAAATGCATCCCACACTGCCTTTGACCTTTTTTCAGCCATCTTATATATTGAAAAAAAATTTTGCCTTAAAACAAGATCTACAAACACATAAAAACAAATGTTGAATAATGGAAGTATAGACACACATAATAACACCAAAAACAGAGCTAAAACTAGGACCCCTCATCTCCAACCACAGTAAAAATATGTGTCCCTCAGCTTTTGCTTTTCACGTTAGATTTCCCTCTACTGATTTTCTTCATTTTCTCAAAAGCCATACAAACCCAATAAATTGTTTCAATCTTTGAAACCCAATTTTTAGTTTGAACCCTTAATAGCATTCTTAACCGCAAATTAAAATTGGATGAACAACTCAAATTCAAAAATTATGACCATGGTTTATGAATTCATGCATAAATCTTCAATTACAAAACAAGGGGAAATCAATCAACACAAAACAAAGGATCAAATCCTAGTCATAGAAATCTTAAACGCCAAAGAAACTTAAAATCAAGACTATAAAAATGAAAAAAATTAAATGCAAGTGCTGTTTATGTACCTGGAAATTGCAGACAATGGAATGGCATAATGCTTCGAGAATCCAAAGTCCCGTGGCCGGAACACCCTCCGTTTCACTCCCCTCTGGTATTGCTGCTTTGTTTGGCTTCACCGACCCATGCCTTGCTTCGTCGCGTCGCCCAGATCTGCAAGAAGAAAAGGAACAACAAGGGATTACAAATTACAGCTTTCACCAAAACTCACACTACCAACCAACCATCATCATTCATCACCACCAAATTGGTAGAAGAAACACCAAAAAAGGAAAAAAAATCAGAGAAAAGGAAGGACACTCACAGAAGGAGGAGAAATGGGATTTTGGTGGGGATTTTCCGGTGAGGGGAAATGGGCTTTTCTGCTTTGAAGTAGTTAAGGAGAAAGACGGCTGGTGACTGAGATGCTTTGGTATTTCCGATCTGCTTTGGAAGAAGGTGAGCAAGACGGGAGGTCGGCTGCTTCAGAGACAAAGAAAGAAAGGAAGACAGGGGAAATGGGTTTTTTGCTTGGAAGTAGTTAGGGAGAAAGAAGGCCGGTGACTGAGAGGCTTTTATGTTTCCGATCTGCTTTGGAAGAAGGTGGGCAAGAAGGAGGAAGAACAGAGCACCGTCGGCTGCTTCAGAGAACAAGAAAGGAAGAAACACGGGAAACAAAGAGGAGGTTATAAAATGGCCCTTTATATAGTGGTTTTTTTGTAAATAAAAAGAAATGTGAGGACAAAATAGGGATGCCAGGTCAATTTCATTAAACGTTTAGGCGAGAAGCTCCCGCAGAAGTAAGAATTGGGAGCTTTCGGCCTTTGCAAAGGAAAAGTGAGAAGCTGAGCTTCTCAAAAGCTGCAGCCACTTTAAAAAGCTACCTCGTTTGGTGTGGCTTGTGCTTTTAGAGCCAAAAAGCTCTTCTTACAATCCACACCAAACAAGCCCTAAGTTAAGATTAGCCCTTCTTCTGGCATTTGAGCTAAAGTTATAGCCAATTAATTAATTTCAGGTTAATTTGCGGAGAAACATGTAAAAGGGTCAAGCTTGA